TTTTGTTTTTATGACAATTTTCTTCACTTGATTTTTAAATTTTATTTCTTTTGTTTTTATTAATCTGAGAAAAATATATGTTTTAGTTAAAAGAAAATGAAAAATGAAAAATGAATATTTATTTTAAGATATGCTTAAAGAAGAATTAAATTTATGTGAAAATAATCTAGTTGTTCATTTAATTATAATTGGATTTCATCATAAAAAAGGTCATCAGGTATATAATTAAATATTTATTTAAAATAAATAAATAAAAAAAACCAAATCCATATTTAGATTGAATATAGTTATCCATTATTAAATGAACCAATTGATGAATATTGGTCAAATATAGGAGGTTTAGCATTACCAGATGGTGTACATCAGAGACAATATGATTTAATTTATTTTCATCTTCCATCTATTTATCATCAAGATAATATTCACAAAACATTATTTGGTATTGCTTCATATAGACAAATTGATGCTAATGTATCATTCGACTTTTGTTTTCTTCTTTCAATCATTTTACTTTTTGTTTTATTTAGACAGTTACTAATAAAGAAGCTGATATAACACGAAATTCAATTCAAAAAAGTGTTTGTCTTATTTTACGTCAAGTAAAATAAAATTTTTTTTTGTTTTTATTTAATGATATTAAAAAAAAATACGTATATTTTAGCCTGTTTATGGAAATGTAAGTGAAGAACTTCAATTGTTAACTGAAAAATATTTTGAAGAAAAAAAATTTAATGAAAGAAAAATGTTTGAAGAATTTGTTGATAAATTAAATAAAAATCCTCCAAAATTTGATTTAAAATATTATTCTGCTCGTGATCTTGTTTGTCGTTATCGACGTAAAACACTTATTCTTTTTAAACTTATTTTATTACAAAAAAAAGTAATTTTATTTATTCACTTATTTAACTTCATTTTTATTATAATAGGTTTTATTTATGTTATCACCTATTCAAAATTTAGTTCAAACAATAATGAATCTTGTCTCACTAATTCCTAGTAAGTCAATCTTTGCTTTTTTTCACTCAACAATTACATCGATAGATATTAATCAATATTAATTTCGTTTTTTTAATTTTAAATTCGAATATGATATTTGATATATATTGATTAAGCAAATAATCGAATTAATCAATAATAGGAATATTATTGTTAGATCAGTTAGATTTTTCTCTATATTGATTATCATATATATATGTGTGTGTGTGATAATATGTTGTTAATTATAAATAAATAAGATTAATATAATAAAAAAAACATATATATATATTCTTAATAGATTTAGTAGAAACCGGTTTAAATGAATGTACATTAATTGATGATAAAAGTGATATTGAAAATGAAATAAATTTAAATGAAAATGAAGATATTGTTTTCTCAAGAAATGATGATAAACAAATTGATTTTGATAATATTAAATTAAAAACATTAAAAATAGTTGGTGATGATGATAATGATAATGATGATGATGATAAATTATCAAATCAATTTGAACAAACAAACACAGAAGATATTAAAAATAATTTATTAAAACGAGCTACATCAATAACAAATAAATTATCAGATACATTTAATCGTTTAACTTCAACAACATCAACATCAACATCAATAGCCATAAATAATAATGAACTTGTTAATTTAATTGATCAATATCAATTATCATATGATTTATTTAAAAAAGTTTCGATTCTTTCTTTTTAATTAAATTAAAATATAAATAAAAAAAGAAAAAAATTCTTGTGTTTAGAATAATCTACTTCATCCATATATATCAATATATTCTCTTGATATAATTAATAATTCAAATATAAATTCATATTTAATTGGTGCAAGTAATCGTTTATATCGTCAACAAAATAATATTGATTTTATTTTAACTGATTATGATGATGACGATTTTATAATTCAATCATCATTATTAAAACAACAACTTCAATTAACAACAGCAGATTTAAGATTTACTCAATTATTTGAAGATTCACAATCAAGTTTGTTTTTATTTTTCATATATTTTAATTGAACGTTTTTTCTTTTTTTTAAAAAAAAAACAAAAAAAAACCAGTTATTCAAAGTGAAGAAGAAATTCGTCGTCTATTTAAAATCTATTTCTTCTCATTATTATGTGTAGCTCGAACTCCTAGTAAGTTAATTTGTTTTTAATTCTCTTCATTTAGTTTTTTTCTTTTTTGGTTAAAATAAAAGATGATGAAGGAATGAATGACTTTAATCCATTATTTGTTAAATCATTTCAATCAACAAATGCATTTCGTTTATGGCAATCAAAAGGACCTTATCCATATATTGATCAAATTCCTCCACGGTTTTATTTATTATCTATATAGAAACGATAGAAATAAAAACAAATTTATTTTTAGACATCCTCAAGCAGGACAACTTAATGTAAATGATGTTAAATTACGTGTTGCTCAGTATGTATTTAATCAATTTAGTTTTTTTCTTTATTATAAATAAAAAATTGTTTTTAAAAAGTGTTCTCGATGATTCTGAAGCTGGTAGAAAATTAAAAGGTGCATTTGAAGATACATCTCAATTTATGGGTGAAAAATCTCGAGCAGCAACTAAAGTACTTGGACAAGCAAAGAATTCTCTATTTAGTTCAGTTATTGGAACAATAAATCAAGGTAAACAATGGTTATCAAAAGGTCAATCATCATCTCCAACATCTAATTAAATTTTCTTTTTTTTTTTTGTTTTTTTGTCAAATAATTATTTCATCATGTCAATTGTTTTCACCTTGTTTTCTTTTTCAAATTATATTTATCGACATATTCCAGTGGATTTTCCTCTTTTTCTTTTTTATCGTAAATAAAATTCGTTCCAATTTTATTCAATGAAAGTTTTTTTAATATGATTTCAATACTCGTCATTTAACAATCTTGCTTTGAAAAAGTTACATTTTAAATAGACTATTCTACAGTCTATTGACAATAAAACGATGAACTTAAATAATCTCTTCCAATACTGACTTTCTGGCGTTAAATACCTCAAGCGAAAGTAAAGTATTCAAGATACTTACGATTTTTGAAAAGTACTGTGTTTTATACTTTGCGGATAAAAATAAAGTACCCTCAAGGTACTTCGTTAGATAAAAATGTACTTTGTCAATTTTTTGTCATTATTTAAAAGTTGCGTCTTTCCTTCTTGTGGATGTGTTTTACTTGTAGATTGATTGAAGAACATTTTTTTCTTTAGTTTTTTTGGAGTCAAAGCCTTTATTATGATGTTAAGAGGAAGAAACACGAAAAAAGAGATGATATATACAAAAGGCTGGAAAACAAACGGAGAGACGCATGACAAGTGTCTTTTGTCCCATGAAAAGTGTTTATACGTTGTTTAGTTTTAACGTTGTACATGATGCAAACTTGTAGTATGCGAATCCGATATAACATTTTTTATACGGATTCTGTCGATTCATCAGTGATCTATAATAACGATGTATATATTATAGGGTGTGTGGGTGTGGGTGTGGGTGTGGGGTGTGGGTGTTGGTGTGGGGTGTGTGGTGTGGGTGTGGGGTGTGGGTGTGTGGGTGTGGGTGTGGAGTGGGTGTGGGTGTGGGCATCGGCGGGCCAGCGTCTTTTTTTTAGGTGTGGCAAAATTTTTAAAATATCTGAGGAAGTTATAAGAAGTTAATTACAAAATCTTGTTAGTGTACGTGCATTTTCATAAAAAAGAGTTTCTATATTAGTAATTCTGTGCATTTTATTTTTATTATTTCACTATTAAAAAAAAATGATAAAGCAAAAAACAATGGCACCGAAACCTGTCACGCAAAGATTTATAAATACAATTAAAATATTATTTTTCGGCTGTTCTTTACTGCTACGAATTTTTTTACAATTTCATCATAGTCAATTTCAAATTCACGCTCAATGTTTAGCAATGCAAGTGCTGATAAACGATCTTCTCCTGTTGTCGTTCGAAGATAAGTTTTGATTCTTCTCAATGTCGAAAAGCTTCTTTCGCATCCACAAGTGTTTACAGGTATCGTTAATAAAATCCTAAACAATTCGTTCATTACAGGTAAAGCAACATTCAAATGATTTTCGAGAATGAAAGATTTAACTTCAGTTAAATTTGCCTGAGAAGTAGGCAATTTTGTCTTGTATAAACGTTGTTCGCCTCTTAGATCGTCGTAACTGAGCGAATATTGTTTCGACAGTTGCTGTAATTCATTTTCATTCAATAATTCCTTGGTTAGAAACAGTTTTTCCATGAGCAAAATGTCATTGATCATATTTTTATCGAATCGATTTTCAATTGATGCAATAATTGTATCCAGAACAGCATAGAAAGTGTTTATTCTATAGTGATCTTTAATATTTATGTCATTTAATTCTTTTTCTCCACCTCCAAGACGAGCAGCAATTTTTTCTTTCTAAGCTCCTTCAGAGGATCGATTCCATTATCTTCACACATTTGCAATGCTGTCGAATAAAAACGTTCGAACTCTGTTTCATTCCTTAAAGATTTTAAGGTTTCAACAGTCATTTTTACTTGTTTTAAAGCTTGAGTGATACATATTTCAGAACTTTGTAGATATTTCGATAAGATATTAGTTATTAGATATATTTCAGACATGATGAACACATGAAACACAAAATCAAATGATTCAATAGAATTAAGAAGTAAATAAGATTCCGGTGCTTCCATTACTTGAAGTGTAGAAATGATTGGTACATACCTAGTTAAGACGATTTTGAGACAATCCCATCTACATACCCACCTTGTATCTGATAATTGTTTCATTGTCAAAGATTGTAATCCAGCTTCTTGTTGCACTTCTTCGAATACGACGTGCTTTTTGGCAGAACATTCAATCAAATTGTATAAAGATGAGATAATACCAAAATTATTTCTGACAGATGGAACTCTAGATGAAACGACAACTAAACAAAGGTTCAAAATATGTCCATTGCAATGTATATAAATACCTGAACGATAAAGAGAGAAACACAACATATTTAAAAAAAGCATTGTCATTATTCGTTTTCCTTCTTACGACATGGTGCCACTTGTTTCAGATGTGCTGCTACACCTTTATATTCATCTCGCATTGCAGAAGCACCGTCATATGACTGACCAACAATATTTTTAACTTCCAAATTTAATTTTTTAAGCCACTCTAATAATAAATTGAATAATGCTTCACCTGTCATTTCCTTCGTTCTCTCAAAACCCATGAATCGTTCATGAATATTAAAATTTTCATCGGTATATCTTATCACTAAGGATACTTGCTCTTGTTTCGATATATCAGTTGTTTCATCAATCTTGACAGAAAAATATTTTGCTTTCTGAATTTCTTGTATAATACGATTTAATACTTGCTTATTCATCAGTAGAATCAGCTCGTTTTGAATTTTGTAATCTGTAAAATTGATTTCTTCTTTTTTTCTTCTTATTAGTTCATTATCACTACTTCTTAGTTCCAAAATTTCTAAGAAATTGCCTCTGTTTTTGGAGTCCACATTTTCACGATGACCACGAACTAAAATATGAAAAATAACTAAGTCAAAGGAAACAAGGAGTACGCACATTTTTAATTAAAAATCTAATTATATTAGAATAACTTACAACTGACACCTTGTCGCGCTAGAAAATGAGCTGTTCGAATTAATTCTTTCAAATACGCTCGATTTTCAGTTGCTTGTTTAGAATTCTGTTGATCTAATAATTTTAATACATCTGTATTGTTATTGTGATTTTGTACAGTTGTTTTCCATCTTTCAAACGATTCTTTATGACTATATGTTGCTTGATATTCATTTAACCTTAATGTTCCATTTTTCCATATATAAAAACCATTAATTGTAAATCCTGCATCAAATTTATGTTCTCCACGTAAGCGGCATGAAAAACAGAATGCACGATCCAATTCTAAACTATATTCTAACCATGGATAAATATTATACCATCCACGACGAAAACGACGACCATTGACCATGAGAAACTGTGTTTGTGGTTGAAATGGGCCTAACAGTATGTATTCTTTTGCTTTTGCAGGACCATGACATGGGTCTCGTTCATTCGAAGACAATGACATGGTAGATTCTGCTGTTGCAGAGCTACTAATTGAAGCAGCAGTGGTATTGTTGGTGACCAATGTAGTGGAATTCGTCGATTCATTTGGTTTAAATCGTTTTGTTCGAAGAATATCTGTTTCTTCAGTTGAACATGATTGAAGTGTTGGTTCATGAACTTCGTCAATATTATAAGTATTTGATACTTTCTTGAAGTAGTTAGTTAATGGATTTTTACTTTTAGACATTTTACAAGAATTAATCTGAAAAGAAGCAGAACAAATATTGATCTAAACTTCAATTATAATCAATATATATAAAGCATAAAATTCCGTTGAATTTGTTTTTACTTGTTGACTTGTTCAAAGAAACATCTATTGTTTCAATTTTACGAATTTATTTGTCGTCGTTAATGTAGTGCCGTTATACTGAGAGAGAGAGCGAGAATGAGCGATAAACAGAACAGAAAAAAACATACAGTGCATAATCAGTCCGCTTAATTGTGACATTCACTGTTATTGAAAAAGAACATTCTCTTCTTCTATTCTCTTTCTCAGCTATGTGAATAAGCATTATAAATCATATC